AATGCATGATCACCATAACCTCTTGTATTTTCTTTTGGATTATAGATGATAGATCGGAATTAATGATAAAATTGTTTACAAATCTTGCTTTTATGTCTCCTTATAGTTTAAATCTTTTTATTTATTCTTTTCCTCTCCTTTTATTCTCCGTCATAGTCCTTTCGCATTAATTATGATATGTAATGCAAATGAAAATTAAAATATAAGGTGATAAACTAAACTTGAAGGTTTTTAACCCTTTTCCCGTGTTTCAGTTAACCATTAACGTAAGTCCAAAGTTAATCAATATTAAAATAAAGTGAAAACGAATCCAATAAAGAATGTCAGATTTATTCCTAAAACGTGGAATGGATTTGATTCTACATAATGGTCCAAACCATAAAGTCGTTATTGTGTTTAACAAACTCATCCATGTTCTAACGTATAGAATGAGGCTGTGAATCTCCTCCAATCAGCGGCATAATTCACTCCAAACCATTCATTGTCTATGTATATATAGCTAAATTCATCTTATCCTAAAATGGTTAATGTTTGTTGGTATATTTGGAGTAACTTGAATCTCTTCTCTAATCACATCATTATCTTCTTCTTCTCTAATAACATGAGGCTTATCATAGAGTTTGAACCATAATCTCGTGCTACTTCTTCTGTTAAACTTGCCAGAGTTTACTCACTTTCTTCAGTGTCACTTAATTTGGAGTTGTCGCAAACGTTTTAGAGTGTCTCAAAAGAATCAAAAACATTTAAGTAAAGGAGATAGCTGAGAAAATACCACAAAATAAAATAATCAGTGGAATGCTCTGCAACTAAAAATATTTCGGAGTGTTATAAATAGAATTATACAACCAACATATAAAGCACACAACATGAAAACAAAGAGCAACAGAGACTAACCAAGAAACAATGTCACATACATTAATATTCTCATGGAAAAAAGAACAAACGTACAATGATCGACCATCATCGTCAATAATTTATAGTGATTTTAAAATCATGGATAAATAAACATTACAATTATATGAATATTTTAAAATTAAACATGTCCATTACTTATATTATTCTTTTTATCCACAGGTAAAATACAAATTCTCTCCGTCTTACAAAAGACATCACGATTAAAAGAGGCTGAAAATATTAGATTTTTTTTTTGCTTCTTCTTCTTCTAGAATATTTTTAAATCTACACATGTTCATTGCGTCTCAAATCTCTCACTTTCAAAAAATAAAAGTTTTGAAACATTTATACGTATTAACAAAAAACTAAACATACATCTTTTGTTGATTTTACATACGAATTGGATATATTCTTATATTTACCTCGTTTACATGTTGAATAAATCATTACAATAGTCCATACCAATAAACACTAATCACAGAAAAACACAAAAACTCAAATATTCTAGATAAATTTGAGTTTTTAATTGCTTACGTCAAAATATAACCAACATGCAAAATTATCACAAAAATGTTTGCGTTTGTAAGATGATTTACATCAAACAAACAAAATTGGTCCAAATTATTTACCACATCCTCTAGGAACGCTGAAACTTTTTTCAAATATTTCTTGTGGTCGAATAAATAGTTAAACTACATCCTCTAGGAACGCTGAAACTTTTTTCAAATTTCAATTTACACTCATTTAAGTCAAGTGATATTTTCTACCGCATTCACATTCTAACATATAGAATGAAGCTGTGAATCTCTCCCAATCAACGGTATATATTAGCTAAATCCATGATGTCCTAAAAAGATTAATGTTTTTTTGGTATCTTTGGAGTAAATTAAATATCTTCTCTAATCG